TCTTCATTTTCGTCTCATCTCATAGTTTTAGAAGTCAGGTCGGCTGTTCCAGTCATCATGGGGACCAATATTGGGACTTCGGTTACAAACACCATAGTGGCCATGATGCAAGCGGCAGAACGAACCGAGTTTCAACGGTGAGTGACAAAACACAGCAAGACCGAGGAGGAGAGTGGAGGTAGAATAGGGTGGGGGTTGAGGCAAGAAGACACTGAAATGGAAAAGTGAAGTGGATAAGTGGTTAGATGGAGGGAAGAGGGAAAAGTGTTAAGAGAGCAGAGGAGAAAGTAGAGGAGGATGATGAGAAAGCATCAGCAGCTGTAGCTGCAGCTTCACACTATAATAATGGCACCAGTCCACACTAATCCTATACCAGTAACCAGTGCCCCATTACATCACTGCCAAAGACCAAAAAAGCAAAAGTTGAGCTGTGAAAAGGAGATTAACAAGCAATCACTCTGAGTAGTTTATGATGCTCCTGGATAGCTAACACAGAAAATGACTGTGATCCACGATAGTGCTTTTGCCGGAGCAACAATCCATGACTGCTTCAACTGGCTGTCAGTCCTGGTTCTGTTGCCCCTGGAGGTGGCGAGCGGGTTCATGACTCGGCTGTCTCACCTGCTGGTCACCACTCTGAGGCTCGAGCCAGGGGAGGAAGCACCCGAGCTACTCAAGGTCATCACGGAGCCAGTCACCAAGCTTATCATACAGGTAAAACCATCAGATGCCATTTTTTCTAATTTACTGTTTGCTATGCCCCTTCATTGGACTGCAGCCCTCTATGATCTCAGCTTAGTAACTGTGATGTTACTCACAGCAGGTCCGCAATGTTGTGATTTATTTGTAATTTATATTTCTTTTCTTTTTCTGTCCAAAACCAAACATCACAGAAACCAAAATGTAAGAAATAGATTAAACACAACATGGTAGAAGGCAATTCTGAGCACATAATTGATGGGTGTCTCTGTCGAAACACCATAACTCAAAAATCTTCAAATAAATTCTGATTAAGTTTTGTAGGGGTGTAGAGTCGGGTCATCAGCAACCCGTTAAAATTTGGCTTATCACAATTTTTCTTCTACTTATAATGCCTGAACTTGACACTACACAGCAAAACCATGGTAAGGTTATTTCAACATCATGAAAAAGTAAAGTATAAAATAAATGATGCACGTCATATTTAGAAATATCTGGAACATGTTTTCAAGTAAATAGTGAAAAATGTCACTTCAAAACCATCTCATGTATCATCTAACTCGTTAGCTGAGGTCACTGCTGAAAACTGATAAACTCGATCAGCAATTCAGCTGCCAAGAAAAAACCCAAAACAAAACAAAAAAATTGTGGTGAAAAATGAACGTACATCTTCTTTCACCCTCAGCTGGACAAGTGTGTGATCACAGGGATCGCCATGGGGAAGGAGGGCATGAGGAACAGGAGCTTGGTGAAAGAATGGTGCCAGACCAACCTTGTTATGGTAATGTCTCATCTCTAGCCCTGTCTCCTTCACATCGTGGGGCGATCGTGGCTCAAGATTTGGGCCTTGTAATCGGAAGGTTGCCGGTTCGAGCCCCTGCTTGGACAGTCTCGGTCGTTGTGTCCTTGGGCACTTCTTTGCCTACTGGTGGTGACAGAGGGCCCGGTGGCGCCAGGCAGCCTCGCCTCTATCAGTGCGCCCTAGGGTGGCTATGGCTACAATGTAGCTTGCCATCACCAGTGTGTGAATGTGTGTGTGAATGGGTGGATGACTGGTTGTGTAAAGCGCTTTGGGGTCCTTAGGGACTAGTAAAGCACTATACAAATACAGGCCATTTACCATACTGTGTCACTGTGTACTGGCGCCAAATGGAGCTTGTCACTGATGCCAGTAAAAATGGCCTGGCTAATGTCTTTCTTTCTTTCTTTCTTTTATCTATCCATAAATCCATAGTCTCATCACAACGTGAGCACTGAAAGCTGTGACTCCAGCCATGACTTGCAAACACATGTGAAGTGTAAGTTAACCTAAAGTCCTATCTGAATCTGAATCAATCATATAGTAAGCCGGAACCAATCTGTACAACCTCATATCCAAAGAAGTTAACATAATGCCATAATGTTGGTATACAAGCAGTGTGTTCTGGATAAAAGGCTTCCCTTATTTCAACAAGAAAAGGCCAAAACTGAACTGGTCTTCTCAAGAAATTTTTATTTACATAGCAAAACAGTCGATACAAGTATAACTAAGCAGTAAGAGAACATTATCAAAAAATATGGCAAACTAAAGGGTGGTAAATTGAACTTCAAGTTTTGTCACTTTGCATAGTGTCTCAACTCATTTGGTAAGGTATAAATGCAGTCAAATATCCTGTTATTGTGGCTTTCTTTGTAGGTAGACATTTGTTTGCATCTGCTGAGATGTCAGACCTCACAGTGGGCCTCATCCTACTCGCCACCTCGCTGGCTGTCCTGTGCACATGTTTGCTGCTTCTAGTCAAACTGCTCAACTCTCTTCTTAAAGGCCAAGTAGCAAAGGCCATCCATAAAGTCATCAACACAGGTTAGTCTAAATTTGAGCTACCAAATGAATAAATAAAAAATGAATATCTTGACTTGTTAGGAAATAAATAATGGATTGCATTTATATAGCGCTTTTCGAGATCCTCAAAGCACTTTACGATTCCACTATTCATTCACACACTGGTGGAAGGCAAACCACAGTTGTAGCCACAGCTGCCCTGAGGCAGACTGACAGAAGCAAGGCTGCCATATTGCGCCATCGGCCCCTCTGGCCATCACCAGCAGGCGGTAGGTGAAGCGTCTTGCCCAAGGACACAACGACCGAGACTGTCCGAGCCGGGGCTCGAACCGGCAACCTTCCGATCACAAGATGAACTGCCAACTCTTGAGCCAGGATAAACCCATCAACCCATCAGCACTAAGTAATACAGATAACCCATCGTGTGTGATTTGTATTACTTAGTGCTATGTGTAGCTCCAGGAAGTCACTGTACTGAACAAACAGCAAAACATCAACCAGTGTTGCTAAAGTTCTCAAAAAAGTAATGTATTACACAATCTTGTTATTTTTTAAACTAATGCCTTATGTTATTTGGAGAAAGTACTTCTCTATCCTACTCAGGAGATGAGATCTTTCTTTTAGTGTTTAAATTTGAATCAAAAGAAAGGTGAAAACTTGGCCACAGAGGACCTCACCACTGAGACTGTACTGCAAAAGCATTTACAGGTTGAAATGGAAGCTAAAAAGCTAGAAGAAAAATAAAATTACATCTATATTTCCTAGTGACAAAGGTTGCAGGTGCAACACCATTTCCCCCTCACAGCAGAAAAGCTGACTGTAGTTGAAAAAAAGAAAAAGCTTTAATGCTCTTTTCTCTCTTTCCACCCACCTCTTTATAAAGTGAGAACCAACATAACTGTTACTGCAATGTTACTACTGAAATTAACACACTAATACATTCCATTATTGCATCACATAAAAATGTAATGTGATTGCATGAAGCTGTACTTTCCAACACTCATAATAACCCAGGTTAAACTGCTACAGTTACTAAAGGAGAAAAGGCCAGTGTAACTGAGCTGGAAGAAACTGGTGTGAGAAGGCACTTGGAAAAGGTGCAATGGGAGTGGAAACCTCTGCAGGGATATACTAACAATGGGCAAATTTACATATGCACATGGATCGTGTTCAATTCAGTAATGACCAAAATCTCTATCAAGAGAAGTGCAGATTGGAAGTGCAAATTTTCGCCCAGATTGCTGATGAATTTTTGAGAAACACCATCAGCAATCTGGGCAAGCATTGTGAGCTGTCCATGGTACTGAAATGCTAAACACAATGGTGAATTTAAGCTTTTTTTATTTTATTTTTTTTTATTCTTATTATGTGTCAGTATATTATAATTATTTGTTTTATGTGTGTGAGGGATGTTGTGAAGCCTTACAAAATTCACACAAAAATCATTTGAGAGTTTATTGAAGCCCTGCCTGACTTCTTGATTTGAAAAGCTTCAGAGCTCAAGTGAAACTTCCAGCTCATATTGGCCAGCTCCAAATATGCATGTTTCCTTGCCTTGATAACCCATAAGAGGGAGTTCTCAGAATGAGCTTTCAGGGTCCTGGTAGGTGTTTATGACTGCCTTTGATCAGCAATTCTTCTTAGTTTTAGCATCAACGGGCAGATGAGTGTAGAACTGACATTTTAGTTTTTAACATAGATTTTTAACTGAAGGGGGTTACATAGAAAATGTAAGCACTTTATTCTTTAAAGTTAAAAATGATTCAAGTTTCTCTTGTGCATCACTGCAGACCTTCCCTATCCATTTGGGTGGCTGGCAGGATACATCGCCATGTTTGTGGGTGCAGGTGTGACATTTGTGGTGCAGAGTAGCTCTGTCTTTACTTCAGCCATGACTCCTCTTATAGGTGAGTGATGTATGTTTTTGCTCTTTTGAATGTCAAAGTCTGCACACCATGTGCACAAATCTTTGCCAAGCTTCGTGGATTTTATCTGTTTATTCTTTTTTAACTTTAGTCCCCTCGATCAATTCGGGCTGCATGATTATAGGCAAAAATCACAATTAATTTGTTCAATATTGGTATCTATCTATCTATCTATCTATCTATCTATCTATCTATCTATCTATCTATCTATCTATCTATCTATCTATCTATCTATCTATCTATCTATC